TGTATGTATGTATGTATGTATGTATGTATGTATGTATGTATGTATGTATGTATTTATTTATTTATTTATTTATATTTCAAATTTAGTCACCACCCATCTCACTCAAAAGCAACTCTGGTTTACAGCAACAATAAGAATAAAAAACCATTTAAAATACAATAAAAACAGCGATCATAAATAAACAATATAATCCAAGAATTGGTGGTATATTGTTCACTTATACCTTTGGTTTTGGTCATAATTTGACCATTGCTGTTTTTAATTGCACTAATACATTTTTTTCCTTAGCTTTTTTCAATTCGTTTGCCAGCCTTCTAGAATTTTTATTGTCATGTTCGTAATAGCTTTGCTTAGCAAAGATAATCTGAGAGATTTTATCTGTCTCCAAATCATCTTTTATTTACTAGCTGTTTGAAAATACTACCTAATCCAGTTCTACTATAGTTTGCTAATAAATTGTTAATTTCTAAATAAAGCTTACTTGCTCTTTGTGCTGTTTTTTTTATCATACTCATCCGATTCATACACTCTCCTCTTAGTACTGCCTTCATAGCACCCACCTTATTCTTACCGATCTTTCATTTCTATTATTTTCCTGAAAAAATTTCTCAAGGTTTGAGTTAGTCGTTGCTTTGCTGCTACACTATACAGTAATATAGGATTAAAACACCAATTATAAATAAATAGAATAATCTCTTCTAATTTAAGTGTAATAATTACTAGAGCACGATCTAAGAATTGGTGCAATTTTAACTTGTTGCAGGAAATTTGAAAAAGTTTTAGATATCCATATGTAGTCTATCCTAGTATGAGATGTATGTCTACCTGAATAAAATGTACGTGCTTTTGTTGCAGGGTTCATAACTGTCCATGTATCTATGAATCCATGATTATGCATTAAATTTTGAAGTCTCTTATACATTCCAATCTGTTCGGATTATACATTAAAACAGGATTAAAAACTGGGGACAAAACTTGCCTGGCTCCATTCGTATGGGTTTGTATACCACATGGGAGGAATAACCTCACGAGGTTTTGATTTGCAAATTAAGCTGAAAGAGGAAAAACTTATTGTCAGTAAAGAAAAATCCATATTAATAATATCCATTAGATTGAGAAAAGAAGATTGACAGGAGAAACAATAACACTTGAAATGCCTGAAAGGATATCACACAGAAGAAGGTCAAGACTTGTTCTGTCTCATTCCAGACTGCAGAATAAAGCATAAGTTACAGGAAGTCAGCTTAAGTTACAGGAAGGCAGATTCTGATTAATGTTTCTTTTTTAAAAAAAAATAGCAGTAAAAGCAGTTTAACAGTGGAAATAATTATTCAGAGACAGTTGCTGGCCTTCTCTTCACTAGATGTGTTCAAGCAGAAGCTAGAAAGCCTTCACTCAGGGATACTTTAATCTGGGTTCCTGGACTAATCAGACAATTGGATTTCATAATCTAAATGGGTGACTTCCACCTCTAAGATTCTATCATTCTGTATTTGTTCAGACCTATAGCTAAAAAATAAAAAGTCAAGGGTAAATGCAAATAAGATGTATTGTGTGCTTGGAGCCAATCAAGTTATCTATCATTCAAAACAATAGATTTCTTTCCCCTGTATGAGCCTTCTCTAGTTTGATGGTCTCTAAATGTATTGGGGCTGTAACTCTCAAAACTCCCAGCTGTCTAGGAAGCTATTTATAAAAAAGGAAAAAAAGTTGAAAATTATGAAAGGGAAGGGAAATGGCCTTCTAAAAACTATACAATGTAGTAAAATTATCCCATTATTTAGCCTTAATAAGGTACTTAGGGTGATAGGCACTTCTGTGTCCTTGCTCCCATCTCCCAGCAGCTCACATACCAACTGGACTAATTTATTAAGGGCATCCTAACAATACATACCTTTTGAATAATATAATTTTAGTCACTCTCCCAGTGTCTAAACTTTGTATTGAACAGGTATATATATGTAATGATGTGCCATCAAGTCAGGGTTGACTCTTATCAACCACATAGATTTTCTCCATGATGAATATGTACGTATGTATATATATTTATATGCCTCTATCTATCTGTCTGTTCATCCATCCAAAGAGAGAAAAGCTATGCTAGCTATTTTTAGAATGTCTTCTTGTGTGCAGCAACTTGATTGCTACAGATTCTTTGTCTGTCAACTCCTCCCTCTCTAAACATTTATATTCCAATTCATTTTGTCTAGACATGCTTTTCAAAAACATAGCTTCCTCTTAAGTAGTGAAGACATATAAGACATACAATTAACTTAAAATGCAGATGTATGAATTGCCCAGAATACAAAGTTTTGTTGAGGCCCTTTTACTTCTCTAGTACTATGTGTTTATAAAGTTACTCCCTTCTTTATTATTTAATACACTATAGGATCCAAACATATTGTTAAGTTTATCTAATTCTGTATTTTAAAAAATTGCAGAGCAGGTAAATGGGGAAGGAAAGTAAATCATCCATTCAATTTCTGCCAAGTAACTACAAGCTTTGCCATTACTCCTAGAGTTTGAATTGCAGAGTTCCAAAGACAAGAAAAAATCATTTTCTTGTATGTTGTCATTGCTGTATTTCTCATACAGAGGAATCAACAAAAGATTGTCCTTCATCACAGAGATTGTGCTGGGCAGAGAAAGTTAACCTTGGCAATAGGCATAGCCAAACTCCTAACAAGGCAACATCATTTGAATTTTCCAGATCTCAAAACCTGAAATTCTTCTCTTTCAGTATCTTCCTATTTTTGGAGATTTGCACTTCTGATCGGGGTTTTTCAATGCATTAGAAAACATGGGCAACCTACATTACAGCTAACTATAACTTCATATAAACCACCTGAAACCCAGATGAACACTGTATCCAGACATGAGCCTTCTTTTGTATTATTCCATTACTATTCTGTCTTTATTGCTATGTGGCACTAATGTACAGTCCACACAACTTGTTCATATTCTGAGTTCATTTTAAAAAATTTACAACATCCCAGTCAGTAGATAATGGCAGAATATGCTTCTTCCACCCACCTCAGCTTCTTTTCACTCCCACCACACATATAATTATAAACACAGCTCTTTTACAGAGTTGCATGCACATAATCTCTTCTGCTCTATTTCTCCATCCATCCATTTCAGAATCCCAGCATTTCAAAATGCAACAACTATATGTTTGTTCTTTTGGAATTCCAACCCTTTCCCCCAAATAACACACAGTGGAATTGTCTGTTAGAAGGTGGCTGTTTCCCCTCCTATCCTCATAATCTTCTCTATAGGGTCTCTTAAGTTCCATATTTTTGGAGATTTGCACTACTGATTTGGGCTTTTATAATTAAATCGATTATGTCCACTTATAGCTAAAACAGGCATAGGAGAAATAAACCACTGGTTGATAACTAAGAATGACAAGATCATGTGGATGCTCAATGAAATTGCTGCAGAGGTATGTATATAGTTCTGAAAAGTTCTACTTGGGCCTACTTTATGTTACAGGAAATCTGTAATTAGTTCTTTCAACATATTTTAATTAAAAAACAGCCACAGATTTTAAAAATGCATTGAGGAGACTATACCTTGCAATTTTTCAGGCTTAAATTGATCTCTTCACTGAGATAACATTTAGAGAAAGAGCAAAGAAATATTATTGCTTTCATTCCTTGCTTTTCTGGCTTCTTTATTTATTTGATTCAAATCTTACCTTTCATTCAGGAGTTCAAGATGGCGTAGATAGCACTTTCTTAGAGAAAAGGTGAAGGCTGGGGAAGACCTATTATTCAGCCTTCCTCTAGGCTTGATTTAGGATGACAGGCTCTGGTTTCCAGTGGGAAGGACTTAAGTAAGTGTTCCTTCTACCATAATTATTGAAATGCCCCCTCCAGGGTCATCTGCAGCAAGCCAAGATTTTGTTAAAATGACAAAGCATGTGTCACAACATCACAATGCAAGCTCTACTCCTTATGTATTTCCATGTGACACCTGAGGCACCAAAGGGGCAGAGTTTGCATCATTATGTCAGAACTCGTTTCATCATTTATCTCTCTGGTGAATGCCCATAGCCTCCTCCTGTACAATTTACTACATGAAATGGGGAGCTGGTGTATTTTGGCATGGGGAAAAACTGGATAAATCTCCAAAGAGCCTTCTTTAGACATTATACAAAGATGCAACCCTGCCCATTTTCCTCTGTGTTTAAAGGATGTCCAATTATAGCACAGGGCCTTTTTGTTATAACAAGAGGGATGCTTTTTCAGACAATGCAGTTATAAGGAATAGAAGCAAACTTAAACTGTTAAAGAACTGTAGGAAAAATAGAGAGTTTACCTTAAAAGCTTTTGGCAAGCTGTATTCTGCAACTGGGCAATTCTCTCAGGACCAAAATGCAGCAGGCCATTTGGGCCATCAGAGACTAATTTGTTAATGCAAGTCCTTAGAATGTTTATCTATGAAGACAGTGATTTTTTTTTAACAAGAACAGTGACAGTTGGCAATTACTTTTTAAAAAATAAAATGAATTAAACTGTTTAGCTTCTAACAAAATCATTTACTTGATTACATACATTTAGAAGACTTTTAAATTCAAGTTTTCAATCTATTAATCTTGGAATTTCCAGATTCTCTGGCACTACCTCCAGCCACTAAGTCAATGGTTGGGCTGGAGAAGAACCATGAGATCGGCACTCCAGTGCATCTGGAATACCTCACGTTCCTCTTAACAATGAGAACTTATAATTTAATCAATTCATGTCACCATCTTATAAAGAAAAAAGCATATGAGTTTGGTTCAGACATAATACTTAATCAGGATTTTTAAAGTCATAGTTGTTGAACAAGTTGATGTGGCCTAATTTTGCATTATGCTAAGCCAGAACCTAAACACGTCATATTATAGATTCAACGACTGTCTAAATGTTTTTTCTTTGCATATAGTAAACTTTCATTCTCTGGACCACCATTCAGTGGACTTTGGCAATGGACGAAGTATTTTGTTTCTGTAGCTGAACAACTGACATAATGTGCATAATTTACATGTTAAACTTATATCATAATTCACAAATGATTTAAATTGATGCAAAAATCTAAAAGTATCAAATACATAATAACACAAATTATATTACCTTCACCAATTTGCACTTAACTAACAATTTCTTCCACAAATGGTCCATTAAATTGTCAATAGTCATACTCCCTAGGAACTATGGGAGTTATAGTCCTGATATATTTCAGGCATTTCAGATTGGTGGTTAGATTACTAAATGTTCTCAGAATAATTAAGTAAGTTTTCCAAATGCCAAGCTTTTCCACTAATAACAATTTTCACACTTATGCATTGCAACTGCAGACTGAAGGCCCACTTCTCTGCATTTAAGTCTGATGATCCAGACTAAACCCAGCTTTATTGCCCACCAACATTCAGTATCTCTATTAACTGAAACAACTCTTAAATAGTCTTTTTAATGGTTCACAACTAAAAGGTCTTTGGGAATTTGTAATCTGCAAGTAGCCTAGGACAGATTCAAGAATACCCATATTCCTGCTTATATAATGGGAGACATCAATTAGATCCAGCCAATCTGCCAAGCAAGCTGGAAGACAGACTGTTACTTCCTCTTCAGGCAATCATGTTTGGAATTAGCATTCCAGCACTCTCTTTGAGGCCCTGATACCCCAAGTGGGCGAAGCCCAATGCTTGAAGTTTCTTTTTTTAAAAAATGTGTTAGAATTTGGGGCCATTTTAAGAATCAAAATGGATACCTTAAGACTGGCAGAAACTTTACAGCATATCAGTCATTTTTTCCCAAAGTGGCAGGCCAAAATTAAGGACAGTTCTGTCTCTTAAGCCCCATATCTCCCAAAAATAGGAGAAAAACATAGCATAATTTCAGCCTTACCTATTTAAGTGGCATCACAACTAGATTTTCTAGACCAATTTTAAAGGGATAGTGCACAGAATTTCTCCAGGATGAATAAGCAGACAGGTCGGGAGACTTATCTCTCTTTCATTACAGTAGTGTACTTCCTTATCATATTAGCTATATCCATTTGTTTTGCTTCCTCCATGGGTAGCACAGAATGCAGGGGTTTCTGTTTCTCCCTTGTCACCATTATTTTTATTAGCCTTTTTTTTTTAGTCAAAAGAGAAATCCAAATAAAAACTTCTTACAGACTCCTAACTTTTAGGGGCTGAATAATAAATCTGAAAAGCATCAGCTTGACCTGATTCCCTTGGCTCATTCATATTACTTAAACTACTTGTAGTTTCTGTAACCTACAAAATTCAATGAGCTACTTGGGTGAGCAGCTAGAGGTTTGCAGCCTTAGTATGCCATCCTTCTCTCACCATCATTGTTTTGCAAAGCAATTTATGTGCAAAATGAATATACAATACAATGGCAAAATATTGTAGAGAGAAACAAAAACTAGCTGGATTGGTTCATGCATGGAACTAAGACATTGTTTAACAGCTTTGTTGTATTGTCGAAGGCTTTCACGGCCGGCATACGATGGCTGGTGTGGGTC